AGAAACGAGGTAACAGCGGTGGACGGTGCGTCAAAAGCAGAGAGACCTGCGCTGGTATAACTCGCACTGTCAACATGTGCAAGTGCAACTGAACATCTGACTCTGTTGTGCCTGTTAATACACTTGATACAACGGGCTAAGAATGATCACTTTCACACACAAAAATTAATAAAAGATTAATACAAATAAAAAATGTCGTCTATGTTTAATTCTCTGGCTGGTACTGCGATACAAAAAAGTTCTCCGCCAGTGGGCCTTCGAGGTGGTTCTCGAGGATGAAGCGCGTACTGTTGAAGGAGGTTCGGGTGGTGAAGCGCTTCATGTGGTTCTTCTCGCTCTGCTTGTACACCCGAAAGACGTACCGGTGAGTGCCTGATCCTTGCGGCGGATTAGCTCCGGTGTACTGCTCCTGGGTCTCTCCGGTGGCCACATTAGTTCCGGCGATGTTGACAATGGTCCAGTGATTAATCTCCCGTACCTTGGCGGGCACATCGGCGTCCGTCACCAGCAGCGTGTACAGCGTCTCCGGTTCAGTGGGCCAGGAGAGGACGGTGGGCGGAAGGTGTGTCTGCTTCGGCGTCAGCTCAGTGCCCTGGTGAACGGCCACATTACCGTACTCAATGACCAGGTCTTCGCAGTGAGCGAGCTCGGAGAAGAGGAGGAAAACAGAGGCAAAGATTGCAAAGAGCAGCAGCACATTACTACCTGACGACATTTTGGGTTTTTGGTTGTTGTTTACTGCCAATGAATTGATATATCAAGTGTGGAGGAGGACTTTTATATTGACTGCCATATTGGTGCTTTATCAGTCCTTGGTGAGTTGATGTGCCAAACAAATCGAGTTGTCTGGCTTACCTGCCACTGCAATACTACTATTGGTCCCACCTGGTTTGATATGCCAACTACTTTTGGATGATTAGAGAGTGTTACACAATGTCATCAAGAGGGAACAAAAGAGGAGAGCCAACAAGAGTCCGTAACAAAGCATGGTAATCTATTACAGAGAGTTTAATGTTACGAAATTAGTATAGAAATATACAAAAAGAGCCGAAGTAACTTTTAGAGAGGATAAAGTAATACACTGTACATGTACTGAAGAAAAAAAGTGTGTTCA